GCAGGCCTCCCGGGAGAACCGGCCGCACGGCGGACAAGGGCCTCTCTCGGCAGGAGCGCTCTGCTAGTTCTCACCAATACCCCCGAGCACACCTGGAAGCAGCGGAGGCAGGTGCAGCCTCGCCCGCACTTCAGTGTCTCGGGCGTCAGCTGCCCGGGGCTTCAGCTACACGTTTTGCTACGTGCAGTTTTAACACCCAGACCCCACCAGCCTCCACCTGTAGCTCTATCAGGAGGCGCCCCCCTCAGAAACACGCTTTGCTTACCTCACCACGCCGCTGCGGCGCCTGGCGAAACCAGCCGCGTTCCTCTTGTATCCGCCAGTCGTCTACATTCAGTGCCCTTAATTTTCCTAAAACCGTCTCTTTGCAGTACGGTTTTTCAGATCTGGATCCAAACAGGGTCCCCAGGCTGCGTCGGGTTGTAAGGCGTCTTGAATTGCTCTCCACATTCCGCCCGCCTCTGACCTGGCACAGACGCCAGGTCCACTGTGCGGAATCCGTCCAGTCGCTTCCTCGCGGCGTGTCTGGTACCCCGCGCCCCGCGTGCCCTGGAACCCGGGCTGCAGGCCCGTCCCTGGGGGCAGCCGAGTCGCCTCAGGGAGCTCGCAGTGCCTGGATGTCCCGCACACGGTCATCTGAGCCTGATCCGGGGCTCAGGTGTGACGGCCTGCTCCTTCACCGTGGAGCTGACCTTTCCCCTTCTGACCAGCAGGCGGTCTGCAAAAACACAGCTCTCCATCAGCCTCCATTGTTGGCCATTTCCAAATTCCTTCCTTAGGGCGCACAGAAAGGCGCTCTCACAATTCCCTCGTTCCGTATGTTCCTCAGGTGGAATGCTTTCCCTCGTCAACAGAGCCTCCGAGCGGCTCAAGGGCTCAAGGGCAGGTCTGTGGTCGGCAGGCAGCGCCCCTCCCCCAGAGATGTCCGCCAGGTCCCAACCCCCCAGATCTGTACAGATGTGGCAGGAGGTGCTCTGCAGATGTGATCCAGGGTCTTGAGACGGGAGAGGACCCCAGACAGTCCATGTAATCACGGGGCCCTTGTAAGGAGGAAGCAGGAGGGCCAGAGCCGGAGGAGGCGCGAGGACGCAGCGGAGGTCGGGCAGGGAGGCTGGGAGAGGCTAACCTGCTTTGCGGGTGGAGGGAGGGGCCGAGAGCGCAGGCCCCCAACGGGAGCCGGGAAAGGCCAGGAAACCTTCCCCAGAGCCTCCTGGAGGCCCCAGCCCTGGCCACACCTTGAACTTGGCCCACTGGCACAGATTTTTGACAAATTTGTGTTGTTTTAAGCCTCTACGTGGGAACATGAAAGTAACACAGAGGCCAACAGAAAAGGCCAGAATGAGGCTTCACCCCTCACCTGACTCCCGGCTGTCAGAGCAGAGCTGGTTCGCCGGCCGCTGGGTGTCCCCGCCGAGTCTCCGGGGGCCGCTGTAACGGTGGCTGCACAGCGCAAGTTTCTTCCCGCTCCCTCTTCTTCCCCCCTGGGGTCAGAGGTTAGGCGAGACCGGCTCCCTCCAGACCCTGGGGGGTTGCTTGTGCTCGCGTCTTCCAGTTTGGAGCGCTGCGCTCCTGGACCTGCGGCCCCTCCTCCATCTTCAGAGCCAGAACCACCTTGGCCTCCGTCCCCACGTGGCCCTCTTACAACAACCCTGTGATGGCATTTAGGGCCCCCAGGTAGTCCAGCATCACCTCCCATCTCGAGGTCCTTACCTTCATCAGGTCTGCAAAGTCCTTGTTGCCAGGGAGAGTGACTATTCACAGATTCCAGAGATGAGGACCTGGGTAAATCCCGAAGTGACAAGCGAAGCCGTGAGAGTTCTTCATTTCCTCGCTACGGCTAAGACTGCACAGATTTTTACACAGTGTTTTTGGGCAGCTGCAGGCATCACTGCTTCTGCCCTCTGGCTAGGGGCACCACCACCCCCCCGCCGGTTCCTAGGTGCTCCTGCCACGTCCTTGCTTTGTGACCCACTGGACACCCCAGGTTTGCCTTGCCTCACGTCTGGATCCGCCGTTCCTCCAGCAAGAAGTAGCATTTATAAACCAGCATCCGGAGAGGTGCTCGCCGCCGCCGCACAGCTGGGCGTTGTCCGGGGCAGAGCGAGGAGCAGCAGCGCTTCAGAGCAGGTGCTTCCTGACCATCTCAGATTTATTTCACCGATTCACACGATCACTTCATCCAAACTGAAAGCCAGAGGGTTTACCTGACTTTGCTGACTTTATCCTTGGTCTCCTTTCTCTTACACCGAGAACCTTGGCTCCTGACAATGTTAACGGCCACTTGCTTTATCCTGCGATGCACAGTCACCCCTCGCTATCTGTGGGGAAGTTACTCCAGGACACCACCTGGCAGATACCAACATCCAGACAGTCAAGTCCCTTATATAAAATGGCACAGCATTTGCACCTAACCCACACGCGTTCTCCCGTGTACTTTAACTTACGACACGAAACACGGTGCCGGGGCTGCATACATGGTTGCCTGTGGGCAGCAAATTCAGGTTTTGCTTTTGGGAAATTCCTGGAATTTTTTTCAAATATTTTCATTCCATGGTTGGTTGAATCCATGGATGTGGAGCCCATGGATACAGAGGGCCAGCTGTGCCGTAAAAGCTGGAAAAATAGCAAATCCAAAATCACTGCCAACAGCAAGAAGACCAGTGGGCTCAGGGCTTCTTCACAACGACCGTCGCAGCAGTTCGTGCCCTTACTGGCCGTTTGTACGTGTCCTTTAGAACGAGCTCCCCGAAGGGCTCCTGTCCAAGTCCTGTCCAGTCACTGGCAACCGTTATTTCCTTGGGAGCTGCGTTACCACTGACACACAGACGGTCTAATTTAACTCAGTTTGTACTTTTCAGAAATTGATTTGTATACACAATTTCACTCATAACACCTAAAGTGGGAGAATGTAAGATTTTACATGGCTCCAAAAACCAAAGCTAATGGCAGAAACACACACAGCAAACTCATGCCCCCAGCAGCTCCCTCTGCCCCGTGCCTTCCCTCTGCTCAGGGGAGACCGTTTCTGTGAGCTGCTTGGTTCTCCTTTGAGCCTTGCTTTCTGCAGATATGAGCAGATACACCTGCAAGCTCGTATCTCTCTCCTGACACGGCACACACACCACTGCTCTTCCTGCTCACCCACCAACCCTGCAGGCTCTCCAGTTCCGCACGTGTCTTCCTGCCGCAAATGTCTCTGCTGTGTGCACGCAGCTCAGCCGGCCGGCCGGGGCCGTGGGTATGTCTGTGTTGACGCAAGTATCCACCCTCTGAGTGACAGGTGATACTGCGATGAATAACCTGGGCCACCTGACACTCTGCACGTGTCTAAGCAGAATTATTAGAATGCAGTGGCAATGTATTGTGTTGCTTGTGTTTTCCAGTGAGGCTGTTGTGAGCTTTGCCTCAAATAATTACACGTCTCAGGGCCCCCAGCACCTCCGCGCAACTCCTGTCCCCCCTCAAAGTGAGAAGAAACCCCCCAGACCACAGAGCTGTAGAGCCACACCTGCACTTACCAGCCGGGGTCCTGACACCCCCAAAACGCATGCTGGCTGGAGGGACGTCCACGCAGGGCCCCTCAACACCTGATGGGTCGCGTCCCAGGCTGCTCTAGCACGTGACCACAGACCGGGTGGGTTAGAACAGCTGCGGGACAGTCTCTCACGGCTCTGGAGGCCAAACGCCCCAGATCCAGGTGCTGGCGGGGCCGCGCTCCCTCTGGAGGCTCCGGGAGGCCGCTCCTGGTGGTGGCCACCAGTCTTTGGTGTCCTTGGCTCCGAGCCGCCTCTCTCCAGCCTCCGCCTCTATCTGCACGTGGCCCTGTCCCTGGGTCTCGAATCTCCCTCCCCTTGCTCTCCCATGGCCCCCGTCCTTGGACTTGGGGTCCACCCTCAATCCAGGATGACTTCATCTCAAGACCTTTAACTCGCTGGCATCTACAAAGACCCTATGTGTCAAAAGGTCACATGCACAAGTTCCAGATGGACACATCTTTGTGGACCACCCCCCCACCTGCTCCAACTCTGGAGGCGGCCCTGGCAAACAGCCGGGGCCTTGACCTGCTGGTAGGAGGGGGAGGGTCCGGGTCGGGCTAGGCCCTCCTGATGCTTGAAGGGGGGCAGCGCCGTGGGGTCGGGGGACTGCCCCGAGGAGCCCAGTCGCTGCCACGCCATGACGTGGGACAGGAGTTTACCCCAAGCTCCCACTGGCCAAACGCAGCGGGAGGCAGAGATGGAAGCTGCGGATGGCGTCCCCGGGCACAGGACAGGCGGGAAGAGCAGGCAGCACCTGTTGGGCCGGCCCCGCAGCACCTCAGCCAGCTCACCCTCCCGGGCGTCTCTCCTTCCAGGCTGTCGACTATGAGCTGAACAGGGCATTCATGCTGACCGTGATGGTGTCCAACCAGGCGCCCCTGGCCAGCGGCATCCAGATGTCCTTCCAGTCCACGGCGGGAGTGACCATCTCGGTCGTGGACATCAACGAGGCCCCCTACTTCCCCTCCAACCACAAGCTTGTCCGCCTGGAGGAGGGCGTGCCCACCGGCACCGTGCTGACCACGTTCTCCGCAGTGGACCCGGACCGGTTCATGCAGCAGGCCGTGAGGTGGGCCTCCCCACGCCCCGCCCTCGCGCCCCGGGGTCAGGGCGCCCATTTTCCATAGAGTCCAAAACACCTAGTGACACCTGCAACCCAGAAAGCTCCCGGCCTGGGGTGCCCCAAGCAGGGAAGCCCAGTCCGGGGACAGCTGGGACCACAGCCGCCAGGCTGCCCTGACAGCAGTCGGCCCGGCGCCGCGAGCGCCCCACAGACCATGAGCGCCACCGTGATTCCGCCCCAGACGAGCATCAGCCGTGTCTAGGCTCGGGCTGGGTCCTGACTCCACCCTCGTGAGCTGTCTGGCTTTTGCACGCCACCCGCCCTCTGTCCTCGGTCTCTGCACCTGTGGAGCGGGACGGCGGAGGGCCTGCCCCCCAGGGTCCCCATGGGCTTCACTAGCCCATCCACCTCGGGGACCACCAGCCGCTGTTGTCGCTGTCCCGCGTGGGACCTGCTCCCCAGGGAGCTCAGCCCAGGCCGGCACTCCAAAGAGGGGCTCTCCCCGGCCCCTCGCCTCACCCTACCTCCTCCCCCAGATACTCAAAGCTGTCGGACCCAGCAAACTGGCTGCACATCAACGCCACCAACGGCCAGATCAGCACGGCGGCCGTCCTCGACCGCGAGTCTCTCTACATCAGGAACAACGTCTACGAGGCCACGTTCCTGGCAGCCGACAACGGTGTGCCTGGGGGCGGGGGTGCGGGGGGCGCCCTGAGGGCCCCGGCCTGGGAAGCGGCGTTGGGGCCCTGGGTGGCCCCTGCCCGGCCACTCAGAGCCCTGGGCTCACTGGTCGACAGGCACGAGTACTCACAGGTGGGCACCGCGGGAGCCGGGCTGGCGGCGTGGGGCCGAGGTCTGTCGCTGCCCCTCGTGGCGTCACCTCGCACGA